TCCGACCTCAGCTTTACTGATGACGTTCCGACCTTGGCTTTATTGGTGACGGTCCGACCTTGGCTTGTCCGACCTTGGCCGGTCCGACCTCAGCTTTACTGATGACGGTCCGACCTTGGCTTTATTGGCTTGTCCGACCTTGGCCTTATGTCTTCGCGTGCCGAATTTCTCCGATCTAATTTTGACTCATACAGTTAGTCCCTCCGCTTATCGAGGTCGTCTCTTGGTCGAGCTCGGTGAGCGGACCATTAATCGTAGTTCGAGACATTCAGATGGGGAGGTCGACTAGTATGGGTTGCAGCTGAGGATGTCGATGCCGATGCCGAAGGAGAATATCTTGGGGATGGTGGTGAAGAGAGTGGCGATGGTGCCGCCGAGTGAAAAGATAGCTGTCTTTTTTGACCATTGATCAGGGTCGTATGTAATCTGCGACTATTTGCGCAGTGACTTCGTATAAAGAAGAATTTTTCGTTGTTATTCGCCGTGTACTTTCTATGTTTTTGCTTTTCGCGACTTTGGTGCGAGGTAGATTCCCGCATGGCGAGTCCCGATCTTTCTTTCCCTTTGTATTTTCTGACAACACTTGGCCTTAGTGACATTTCGAATTCTCTTTGGCGAAGGCCCATGGCCTTAGAGGGTATTATTTTGATTTTATCGAAATATTGGCCCGTCATCGTTCGATCGAGGTCGAACTCTTCTTTTTAGTGAAGGCCCTTGGCCTTAACGGGTGTTATTTCGAACTTATCGAAATATTAACCTGTCGTCGTTCGATCAAGGTCGTACTCTTCTTCTTTGGCGAAGGCTCCTGGCCATAAGGTCGATTCGGACGAGGCTGAATGTTGATTCGGACGGGGCCGGATGTGGTTTCGGACGGGGCCGATAGTTGACTCGGACGGGCCGAATGTTGATTCGGAAGGGTGAAGGTTGATTCGGACGAGGCCGAATGTTGGTTCGGACGGGGCCGAATTCTGATTCGGACGAGGCCGAATGTTGATTCGAACGAGGCCGAATTCTTCTTTTTGGTGATGGCCCTTGGCCTAAAAGGGTGTTATTTCGAACTTATCGAAATGTTAACCCGTCGTGGTTTGAACGAGGTCGAACTCTTCTTTTTTGGCGATGGCCCTTGGCCGTCAGGGTATTATTTCGAGCTTGTCGAAATGTTAACCCGTTGTGGTTCGAACGAGGTCGAACTCTTTCCTTTGGCGACGGCCTTAGCCGTAATGGTGAAGGTTGATTCGGACGAGGCCGAATTGTTGATTTGGACGAGGCCGAATGTTTGTTCGTACGGGGCCGAATGTTGGTTCGGACGGGGCCGAATTCTGATTCGAACGAGGCCGAATGTTGATTCGGACGAGGCCGAATTCTTCTTTTTGGCGATGGCCCTTGGCCTAAAAGGGTGTTATTTCGAACTTATCGAAATGTTAACCCGTCGTCGTTCGATCAAGGTCGAACTCTTCTTTGATGGCGAAGGCCCTTAGCCTGAGTCCCAGTTCGAGCGAGGTCGAACTGTCAAACTTTGATGGCGAAGGCACTTAGCCTGAGTCCCAGTTCGAGCGAGGTCGAACTGTCAAACTTTGATGGCGAAGGCACTTAGCCTGAGTCCCAGTTCAACTGTTGTTGAACGTAGTCCATTTTGATGGCGAAGGCGCATGGCCTAAGTCCCAGTTCAACTTTTGAACTTAGTCCATTTTGATGGCGAAGACGCATAGCCTGAGTCCCAGTTCAACTGTTGTTGAACTTAGTGGCGAAGGCGCATAACCTTGATTCAATGGCGAAGGCGCATAGCCTGAGTCCCAATTCAACTGTTGTTGAACTTAGTGGCGAAGGCTCATAGCCTTGATTCAATGGCGAAGGCGCATGGCCTGAGTCCCAGTTCGAACGAGGTCGAACTGTCAAACTTTGGTGGCGAAGGCACTTAGCCTTAATCCCAGTTCGAGCGAGGTCGAACTGTTAAACTTTGATGGCGAAGGCACTTAGCCTTAAAAGGTTCCCTGGGGGAGTCCCAATTTGCTTAATTCTGCTTGCATTGGAGAATATGATGCGTTTCTCGGGTGACTGCCCCTGCGTTTATTCCATTTGGAGAAATAGTTAGTTAAAACAATATAAAAGCATTTGTTACCTCAGTTTGATCGCGTTCCCTTCTCCTGTTATGCTTTCGGTGGTCGCTACCAAGTTGGCAAGGCCGTCTATTTCGATGTTTTGTGCTCGGGGCACCTGGTCGAGTTGACACTTGTCAAACTCGGGCAGTAGCTTATGGATTCCTGCCTGATATTTTCGTGGCCTTTGTTCTTTTATTTGGAAAGTCCCTGTGACTTAGTTGATGACGGGTTGTGAGCCATATCGAAGGATGATTCGCCGTGCTCCATACTTGAGAGCTAGTTTCTTGTCCTCTCAACCGTGGTATTTTAGCAGCAGCCAAGTGTAATGTTGGGCCACTTCTTAAATCTAGATTAGATGTCAATGCATACGACAGGGTAATTCCCAAATATTCTACATCTTTTATTCAATAAAACTCCAATAGCTCTGGATTTGGAAATTGTTTAAAGATTTGTCAGTAATAGTCTTTGTTGCATGATAATGCGGACGAGGCGAGTGATCAAATGGAAAGCTCTAATGATTTTATTTTAATGCAACAGACCGAAGGCCTTCTAGTTGAGCTAAATATCTTGAGCTGTTTATGATTTCTTGGAGCAATATTGAGACCATATCTTTACTCACCTTGAAACCATGATTCAACAGAGGTACTTCAATCATTATTTTATTAGGTGTATCAAATTCGTTTGGCTTCCCTGAAGACGCTCCATAGTCGGAATTGAATCTTAGATCTAGAGGAAATTAAAATTTTAACTAGAAAATCCCCACAGACGGCGCCAAGTTGTTTGACTCAAAAGTTGTTTAAACCTTTTTGAACAAATCAATCAAAGATGAAGGGGTAAATCCTAGTTAAAGATAATTAACTCTAGATCCGAGACGAATAATACGAGTAGAAAAACATAGCCGAGTATAAATATTGGACGTGATTATAGCCAGATTTAATAGCATAACGAAAGATGCATTGAATAACATTAAATGGCGACAAAATATAGATAAAGGAGAAGATTCACCGGATCTTGGGTGAGTCGGATCTTCTTTCATTTGATAAAGATGAATGATCGATAAAATACAAGACCCATTGGACCCGTTTTGCATCTGATGAAGGTATGGGATCATAGATCCTCTTCTCTCGAAGGAGAGGAGTGTTTACATATTTTTCTAGCAAGAGGGAGAGGGAGAGAGCCAGCCCCCCTTTTTGGGAAGTCCTCCCTTCCTATTTATAAGGGGTATTCCTAGAAGAACATTAAAAGAAAAGGTACAATTAGAGGGAATATTCAGTAGAATATTCCTTTTGAGGATTCCAAAGCAGACTAGTTGTTTCATCACTGTCCGACCTCGGCTTGTCCGACCTTGGCCGGTCCGACCTCAGCTTTACTGATGACGGTCCGACTTTGGCTTTATTGGTGACGGTCCTACCTTGGCTTGTTCGACCTTGGCCGGTCCGACCTCAGTTTTACTGATGACGGTCCGACCTTGGCTTTATTGGTGACGGTCCGACCTTGGCTTGTCCGACCTTGGCCTTATGTCTTCGCGTGCCGAATTTCTCTGGTCTAATTTTGACTCATACAGTTACAAGAATGGGACTCGAAGTCCTTCAGCCTTCAGTTCTACGACAGAGTAGGGATCATCTAGTAAAGCTTCTTGATGAGGTGGAAGTTAAGCTTGGTGAAACATCATATTTAGCTGGGGAAGAGTTCAATCTATAGCAGATTTGATGCTTATTCCAGTTCTAGGTAGATTAGAATTGTTGAAGTTGGAAGATGAGCGAGTACATAAACAGTCGACCAGATTATTGGGTTATGGTGAAGCAAAGACCAAGCTATAACAAGGTGATTGGTAGGTACTTTGATGGACAGAGAAGTCGAAAAACACTGCTGAAAACCTGGTGCTTCATCCGTATCAGAAGCTGAATTGATTTGTTTTACGAAGAGACTGGAAAAGCTCTACTATAAAGGGTAGCTCGGTGAACTAAGCTCCCGCTATGCACGGGGTCTGGGGAAAGGCTGGACTACAAGGGTCTATTGTACGCAGTCTTACCCTGCATTTCTGCAAGAGACAGGAAAAGCTCTAGTATGATGACCATCAATGCTTACAGTCTAGTGGTACTGATGAGTTCTCTACACAATAGGCGTGGATTCCATTCTCACAATCCCCCTTTCCCTTCCCACATGTAATAGAAAATTTAAAATAATAATTAAAAAACCACGCTTGTACGATGTAACTAGTCATATTCTCGTCCCCCTTCTCCTTCCCTCGTGTTTTCATGAAAAATATTTTTTCTGGAAAATGTTTTCGGTGTTTAGTTGGTGAATAGATAATATATATTACAGAAATCATATGGCTCGGCTACAAGTCAAACTTAAACCAAACTGAAAAGTAGAATGTAGTTTCAAAATATAAATGGTTTGATTCGTCTTGGAATGTACTCAAACCGTGCTTTTCCAGTTTGGTTTATTTTCCCAAACTATATCAGTAAAAACTATGCACGCCAAGAGTTATCTTTTTTACATTTAAAGAAACTCAGGAGTTCCACGCCAGACGCCAGCAGAAGTTCAGCAGGTCCATTACCTCAAAAAATGGAAGGAAAAGAAAAGAAATCTACTATACACAAGATTTACGTAAGCCCAATGCCCCTGGCAGAATTAATTTCTAGGTCCATGCGTACACTAATATGCAGAAGCAACAACCAAGAAATCAAATGGGTCATAAGCAAGTACACGAGGAATTCACACGTACGCCTTTCCATAGAGGCCATCAGACAACTTTTTTTAAGAAAAATCAATTAATAACGAAAAGAATGAGCCAGTTTACCTCTTTGAGGCATTAAGGTCACTGTCAATGCGTACACTAATATGCAGAAGCAACAACCAAGAAATCAAATGGGTCATAAGCAAGTACACGAGGAATTCACACGTACGCCTTTCCATAGAGGCCATCAGACAACTTTTTTTAAGAAAAATCAATTAATAACGAAAAGAATGAGCCAGTTTACCTCTTTGAGGCATTAAGGTCACTGTCAATGTATGACATCAAATAAATCAGAGTAACTTTGGTCCTAAACCTAAAAAAAATTATGAAAGAATCAAATTTAAAAATCTAAATGGTGCTTTTCATTTTCTGTTGGTGACAGAGAATTGCGAGTACAAAAGGAGAAGCACCGGAGAAAATTTGGAAGCTGCTGAGAACTTTGCCTCTATAAGATAAAACTAATACCTGTGGGAAGTATGCTGTCGTAAAGTATGCCCCATATCTTGCATTCCAAGGTTATGCTCCATCCAACTATGAATACTTCTGAACTCATCTTCCCTGCTTGCTACACCTGCAATGCACATGTTATTGCTTGAGTTGTTTCCTGTGTATTCCCAGCCACTTCTTATCCGAAGCCAGGGAGGTGCTAATTTTGAATTATTGTACTTTTGCTTCCTAAAGTATCTCCTTCCCGAGTTACAAGAGTCACTATCTCGTTTAGAGCCAAGTTGGTATCCAGTGCCATCCTGAGGCTGGTCTGCTCCAGATACGCTTGGAGGATTTTGAGCCAAGTGACCAGGAGAAGAAGTATGGCAATCTTGTCCAGTGATTTGAGGTAGTTCACTGATTGCACCCGGATTAGAAGCAGAAGGCACAGATTCTCTTCTATCACGGGGATATGGAGGCAAAGGAGGAAAAGGCTGGAAAGGTATTCCTGGGGCAACAGTCCAAGCATCAAATCTTCCTTTTTGAGGAGACCCAAATTGCTGCACCTCAGAAAATGGAATTCCATAAGAGACAGGCAATCGTGAAATGAACCGCTGCTGCAAGTTCCCCGTAACGACTGGCAGTGGATGTTCTCTGCATCTACGTTCTTCGGGACTACAAATAGCTGCTGAACACGAATCAGATAAAACCATACAAGCCTCAACCGGGAACAAAAATCCAGGAGGGAATTCATAACCAGGGGGAGCGTCATCATCTAGGACCTGCCTTTTGTCATCAGCTACATTGCTCTCATTTCTTGGATCTGGCTTTTCTTCAGCCTCTTGATCCCACCGACTTTTATGCTTACGTTTCCTTGGCCTAGAGGCTGCCCCGATATCAGAACATGAAGCAGAGGAGCCATCAGGCACACAAGCATCTGCTTGAACAGATGAAACTGTTGGATGGCAGGTATTCTGAGCTGCTTCCGAAGGTTTACCACCCAAATCGCACCATTGATTTTGTGATGCTAGACACCTATTGTAAGGTGAACCAGAATGCATGTTGATTCGGCTGTCATCTCTGTCAATGCAGCTTCTGTTCCTGAGAGGTCTGCGTAACCACTTATCTCTAAAGTTCCTTGCAATTTGATGAACCTGACATGCAGTAAATCACATAGATACTTTGTCACCTAATGGTTCTGATAAAGAAAATTTTTAAACAAAGTAATTAACATGAAAAGACTCCTGCAATCAGGCTACAGATATAAATCAAAACATAGAATCAACAATAAAAACATAACAAGAATGTGAAAAATTTATTGCAATGGGTAAAAGAAAAAAAGGAACAGAAGCATACACATAAGGTCGAGAAAAAGCAGTAAGAATAAAGTGCATGCAACCTTTGTCCGGCAGCACTAGTATATAGCATACTAACCTTCGTGGAAAAGACCATAGAGCTAGCCCAAATAGCACCTCCCTTACCAAGTTCTATCAAGCTAATTTAAGTTTAATAGCTAAGATCAGCAGAAAATTGTATTTCACTCCCAACTATAAGATGATAGACCCAGGTCAAACAATCCTTTATCCAGCCTAGCTCTTTCTTCTATCAATCAGTCAAGTAGTGATCGGTTCGGGTACGTTGCATGCTCTTTTAACCCAGGGCTACCTCCTTCCTTCCTTCCTGTCTTACAAGGGTAATTAAGATGCTAGTCTCTTACTTATCCATCATCCCCAAATGCAGTTAATGTGAAATTGGAAAATCAGTAGCCTAAATCATTTATAGTAAGATTAAAACAAGCAAGATGACAACATGAAATAATCTTTGACGAAACCAGCTTTCCTCATGCATCTACACAACATCAAGCAACAAGCACAAACAGAACTGCGAGTTCTTATTTCTTTTTCATTTTTTTGAGAAGGAACAGAACTGCGAGATAACTATGAAGCATTTCAATTTCATACCAATATGAAATTTCGACTCTTTTTAAGAATCAATTAAATGCAGATATTTTGCTGGAACAATTAAAAGGAAAAAGAATGTGATTCTACAACCACTTGATGGAAACAAAAGACCTGCATGGTAACCAGATTGGATTACCTGTTTGTCTTTGTGCTCTGTCAATCCCAAAATTGAGTCCCTAAAGCTGCAGAGCCAAAAACAACACTTTCAGAAGTAATTTGGAATCTGGGGTTATTGCTTGCAAAGGCATTGTATAAACGTGATTTTCAGAGAATTACAAGAAGCAAAAGCAGGTTAAAAATTTGACGGGCGCCACATAAGACAGAACACACAATCCTAAGTAGTCAGTCAGCATTTGGAGAGACGTTATTGCCATAATAGTCAGGAAACACGTGTCATAGCTGTCATCAACTTCAGTAACACTACACGTGGTATATTGTTCTAGGGCAAAGTAATGAACCAAGCATGCACGCAGGAAATTAAAGCAAGTTGCAGGAAAAAGTAGATACAAAAATAGAGTGGAGGAGAGTGTTGGAATGTTAATTCTAAAGTTTGATATTGCACATTGAACAAAAAAATATGTGGTCGTTAGGTTGACGGACAAGTGTGAACAGCGGTAGGAAATATTCCCATAACTGTGGTAATTGGGATTACACCAGGAATCAGCATTGAGCCCATGCTTGTTTGCCCTAGTTATGGAGCTAACAAACAGTATACAATGGGACAAAGTAACGACAACATGACCACGAGCCTGCAATCATTATGAACACGGAGAGGCTTTACGAAGGGATGATCGAGAGTTGACCAAGTTTGATTGGTGTTTACCAAGGTTTGACCAATGTTGACCGCGAGTTGACCAAGACATGACCACCACTAGAGTTTCCGGGATGAGTCAAGCCTGGTCCCACACGCCCCACTAGCCTCACGTCTTTTTTAATTATGTTAGGGATTTTATTATTTTAATGTAATTGAACTTGAGTCCCAGCCAATTGTTTAGCTAGTAGTGTAAATAGGAGTAACATAGGGTTTTACCAGATTTGGATGAATTATTTATGAAGAACTCTCTAGAGAGAGCATCCCTTTGTGTTAATATCCTTTACCTCTTTAATTGAACCTCTCTTAAATTCTTCTTGCAAGTATTCATGTATGAGTTCAATTTCTCTTCCCCTTGAATTATTTCTTGTAGTAAAATTGCTAGTTGGTAGGTATTACTTGCTTGGGTTGACTGGTTGCTTCTTCTATTAAATTCTATCCTTTCTTTCTTATTTTATCTCTATCTTCTCATTTCTTTCTAGTTGTTGCTCTTTCCGTCGTCACGTGGGAGTAGTAGTATGGAATATCTTAAAAGTTCAATGCGAATAAAACAAATGTAATATACTCATCATATATGGATACGAGATGAAATTCTAGCAGCTCTTCCCCGATTTAGAAATTTAAAAACAAAATCAAGTTTCAATTCCACATTTTAGAACTTCCAATATGGTGGCATATTGATATTGCAGTTGTGCAACCTTTGTTTCTTTTAGATGAAATGTGCAACCTTTGTTTCTGCTACCATTTTTTTCCTTCTCTTAAATAACTAATGTAAAAGAGTTCCGCTTCTGTAGTTTCTAATCTACCATTCGCATATCTTTTAGTCTTTACACTGTAATTCATATTTGGGTTTCACATTCGAGTTGCTTTATTAGATCCTTATCACTGCACACAAAAAAGGAAATTCTACCTGGACGTCATATGGAGGCATTAAACCCACTCAGATTATCATAATAAAAGTTAAAAATATTCTACATAAGTAACATGCGATAACATCTGCTAACCTCTCAACTCCAGCTCTGGACGTGTCTCCATTAATGTGCTCAGGAGAAAGGATGTCTCTTACAGCTAGATACTCCAAAACCTGTAAAGTACAGTTGACATTGTAAAACCAGCTTGGTAAGATAGAAATGACAAAATGTTTAGCCAACAGAAGATGTTTAGCCAACAGAAGATCTCACGTTAAGGAAAAAATGGGTACAACAAAATAAAGAAGTGACTAAAGAAGCCACTAATATATTGCTCAATTACATATTGACGTACGTCTCACCGAAATTTTCTGGTACAGCATCTTATTGACAAGAAAGACAATGTTCTTACCCATTTAGATCACCAACCAATTTGCTGCTTTTGTTAAGACTTTTTTGTTAGTTAAAGGCAAAATATTGAAAGGAGCAAATGTTACCTCTTTATACCTGATGAGACTTCGTGAAAATTTTGAATCTCCAAGGCCATAAAGGACGAGGAGAAGATTACTAATAGATTTAGATGTGACATTGTATTTTGTGTTCTTACCAGTGTTGGAAACTACTTCACGTTGTTTTTATCCGTCTACCATTCAATGATTTGAATATATTGTTACTGATTTTAGAATGGATAAAATACAGAGAGTATATCTGGTGTTTCATGTTTAATTAGTATATTATATGTATATTATCCTACTTGTTTAGTGACATCATAATGTCAGACTGTAGGCATATTGTCCATGCTACTCGGCTTTGATCTTTGAACTTACTCACAGTGCATGAAATGATAAATAACTTGCCATATGCTTTTTTTTTCTTTTTGGCAAACTTAACTACAGTGATTATTGCACTTATATGTTAGCTAGTTGAGACCTTTTTTCCATAACCTGTTAGCTATTTAATATATGTTTATACACAAATATGTTTGAGTGACACATTAAGACGTTGTGCAACAACAACAATGCCCCAATGGGGTCTGGGGAGGATAGTGTGTACGCAGACCTTACTCCTACCCCGACGGGGCAGAGAGGTTGTTTCCGATAGACCCTCGGCTCAGGAAGACGGAGATAAAACAAGAAGAGACAATATATCAGTATCGTCAACTTAAACCATAGAAATAGTACAGCATCATATAAACCATAAAATAGATGGCATGCAATAACAATAACCAGTAATCAAGGCAGGAGCTATGAAAAATAGAAAGGATAGTGTGGACACAACAATAACCACTAGCCGTCCCCGGTATGAAGTAGAAAAAGCTCGACTACCCCCTAGCCTACAACCCTAATGCTCGACCTCCAAACCTTCCTATCAAGGGCCATGTCCTCGGAAATCTGCAGTCGTGTCATGTCCTGCCAGATCACCTCTCTCCAATACTTCTTAGGCTGCCCTCTACCTCTTCGCGTGCCCACCAAAGCCAACCGCTCACACCTCCTCACCGGAGCATCAAGGCTCCTCTGCTACACGTGCCCAAACCATCTGAGCCTCGCTTCCCGCATCTTGTCATCCACAGGGGCCCACGCTTACCTTCTCCTGATATTTTCATTCCTAATCTTATCCATCCTGGTGTGCCCGCACATCCACCTCAACATCCTCATCTCTGCTACCTTCATCTTCTGGATATGAGAGTTCTTAACTGGCCAACACTCTGCCCCATACAACATGGCTGGTCTAACCACCGCTCTATAAAACTTACCTTTGAGTATCGGTGGCACTTTCTTGTCACACAGGACTCCAGATGCTAGCCTCCATTTCATCCACCCCACCCCTATACGGTAAGTGACGTCCTCGTCGATCTCTCCGTTCCCCTGTATAACCAACTCAAGATACTTGAAACTACCTCTTTTGGGGATGACCTGTGATCCAAGCCTCACGTCCATGCCTTCCTCCCTCGACTCAGCGCTAAACTTGCACTCTAGGTACTCTGTCTTACTCCTGCTTAACTTGAAACCCTTAGACTCGAGGGCCTGTCTCCAAACCTCCAACCTCTTGTTAACACCGCCTCGCGTCTCATCAATCAGAACTATGTCATCAGCGAATAACATACACTATGGCACTTCCCCTTGAATATGGTGTGTCAGTGCATCCATCACCAGGGCAAATAAGAACGGGCTAAGCGCAGATCCTTGGTGTAACCCATAACAAACGGGAAATGCTCTGAGTCTCCTCCCACGGTCTTAACCCTAGTCTTAGCTCCATCTTACATATCCTTGATCGCTCTAATGTAAGCTACCGGCACACCCTTTGACTCCAGGCATCTCCAGAGCACCTCCCTAGGGACCTTGTCATACGCTTTCTCCAAGTCAATAACCACCATATGCAGATCCTTCTTCTTATCCCTGTACTGTTCCAACAACCTCCTAACAAGGTGGATAGCATTCGTAGTCGAACGACCAGGCATGAACCCGATATACCTCTCAAATAAGACGTTGTGTAGTGAATAAATAATTTGTCAGTTAAAAAACTTCTGGCTCAAGAGTATGCAGATCATGATTAGCTGGTGGTAAAACTGACATTTTCTGATATACCTCTCAAATTCTGGTACTTCCAAGCTAACTACTCAATCACTAGAGTAGAAGTATAGGACAATAGAATAACTACATTACCTTAAGCAACTTTCTGAGAATTGGGATCTTATTGAACTCCCTCCTGTATCGCTTCATTATGTTGTGTAACATCTGTAGACCTACCAGCAAAACAAACACAGATCCAACAATCGGTATATTTGAAAATAGGAAAAGCTAATACATGCAATAAGCACCAATTTATTACCATTCTTGTTCATAATATCCATCAAAACTGTGCGTGACTTTGTTTTCAAGATCGCATCAAGGATCATAGAAAGTTCCCGATTACTGCTAACAAATAAATGCACAAATTAAAAATTATATAAATAAGAAGTAGCAGCAGCTAAGAATTCAACTCCTAGCACTACAAAGAGTCAAAGAGGCGAGCCATTTGTTACCTCTGGATAGCTTCACCATTACAGCCATCCCCTGAAGCAGCAGTTAAAAGGAGGAGCTTCAAGTAGCACCTTGATGCATCCTGCTCCAAGAAAAGGGAAAACTAATAACTGAAAGAAAATGTAGAGTTCCATGGAATCAGCATGCACACATTTACACATATGGCAGAAGTTAAAAACAACAGGAATGCTTCAGAATATTATAGTAGAACGATTAAAATCTAAATGGAGAGGTTACTAAAGTCAAGGCTGAGTTACGAAACTGGAAATGCCTCAGAAGATCAAAATAGGACCATGAAAATGTGAATGGAAACATTACTAAGCTGGGGCTACATTATGTGCCCAGCAATGAACCCTTACTACCACCCACTGTATGGACTCCCAGCCCTCCCTTTCACCAACGTTTTGGCCTATTCCCTTTTGTAATTAACACCAAAGAGGCTGCACCAAAGTGCAGTAGAAGAAAGGTAAAAAAGAGGGGAGCATTCCCACAAACCAGCACAATGAATAATCACAAATCACCAAGCAAGATATAAAAGAAAGAAATGCAGATTATATCTTGTAGCTTTTAACTACTCACCTTGCGTTTGCTTATTCCACCATTATGATCCAGCAACTCATTCAGTTTCTCTTCAACTGCAAATTCAGGTAAACAAGATAATGCGAAAGTACTCCACAATCTGCAGATTCCACAAAATGATAATGATGACATACCTGCTTCAAAATGGCCATGTAAGGAGCCATCCGGTGGTTTCTTGAATTTAGGTTGTGAAACTTGCAACATGTCCACATCAGGCAGGGGTCTGGAATTCACAGCATTATTCCTCTGTTTCACCTTCTTCACTAAAGGTGATTCACGCGAAGTTTTCACAAAAGGACAGGGTTTTAAGGGATCATGTGTCTCTCGCCCATTGCTGGATTTTGACTTTCTCAAAGACTTGCTAACCACTGCATCAAGAGAAGTTACCTCAAATTCCTGTGTGGTAGAGAAAGAGTTCTTTGATACTTCGCCAGCTACTGAGCACTCTTTTGTCACTCCAGACATGGTTTCACATGTATCCTTCAATGACAAAGAAGTCTCTACAGGTTGAACAGAAGAATGAGACATACACTCTGAGGCTTCCAGTGCCACAGATGTTTCGGCATTTAAAGATGATGCAGGAGATCCATCAGGGAAGTTTACGCTTTCCTCTCTAGCATTCAAGCTAACAACAGCAACGGGGTTACCCAAATTAACATTTTCTAGACCCACGACACTGTTCATGTGTCTTTGATGGGAAGTATCCTGATTTCCAGCAAAAGTTTCATCCACTGTATTTTTGTTTTTAGGCGGTTTCCCTTGAATTTTAATTTCAGCAACATTAATAGCACTTGTAGCACAAATACTGTTGTCTTGTTTATGATTCATGTCAGCATCCCCATGCAGCATGACAGGCTCAGGATACTCATCATCCGAATCATCCTGAACAATCACTTCTGCATTTAGCGGGTCACCACCTATATAGCCCCGACAATGAGGTGAGCCACAGACACACTTTTTAACTGCAGCCCCGAAGACTCGGACATAATTGTAGTCAAATGTCACCTCTTCGCCCTGATAATAGCATCCAAAGCACAGTGATCTATTAAGCCAAGAATTGATTCCATTCAATAGTCATACAGGCAGCTTATAGATTTCACAGTAGACTGAAGGGCTGGACACCAAATAAATTATTGCAATCCACGATAAAAACGGGAAGTAAACCTTGATTGCAGTCCACAATAAAAACAGGAAGCAAATCTTGAAACTGAAAGCATGTCCTAGAATTTTTTTTATTATTGTTAAGGAATATCCTAGAAGTTGTTGAAGTCCAGTAACTTTTCTGCATTTAATTTACGCTTTGAACAGAGCCTAGTTTGCTAGTTCTTTAAGTTCCATCCGATTTATGTATTTAGTAATACTCTTTTGATATATATGCATTTAGTGATATTATGGAGAACCTGTTCCCTCTTAACAACTTGAAGCAATTCTTCAAATCAATGTTTTAAAAGGCGGAGGCGTGAGGCGAGGCGTTTAACCTCTGACGAGGCGAGGCGTAAGCTCTGAGACATGGGGCGTAAGTCCCACAGATCTTTAAATATTACTAATTTCAAGAATTTTAAGATAGTATAAAATAAAAAATAATTATAAAAACATTAAAATCATAAAATTATAACAAATAATCTATTTAAAATATTTATAAATTATAATTCAACTATGGATAATACGAAAAGTATGACATATATCATAAAATATGCAAATTAGCTGCAACGGCGTTACAACTCAAACATCAAAAGTAATGTATTCGATAAGAAATTAAGGAGTAATGAATCTTGAAAGAATTTCGATATTATAATTTGATATTTTTCTAAAATACTCCTTTTATTTATAATGCTTTCTATTTGAAAGAGAATTTATATAAAAACATAATTCAAAATTTAAATATGATTCTCGAGCATCATTCATTTTTAAGTTTCAACAAGTTAATAAAGTGACACATAATTCACCATACAATACCATGATAACTAATTATTTGTAAATAGTTACTAGCTAATACTGAGCTATTAAATTAATAAGTATTGTATCTCGTAAACGTGAAAAAAATAGTATTTAGAAAAATAATTATTAAAAAAATTATAGACTATTATATAGTAAAGACATAACAAAAGTTAATAAATAAATACTTTTCAAATGAAAGATTTATTTAAATTTAACTATCATAGCAGTCTTAGTGGATAAGATGCAATAATTTTTATTTTAATTATGCCATAAAATACTCTCAACTTAATGATTTATAATTAGGAAAAAAGTAATTTTGAATAGTCAACGATTTATTAAGAAAATTTGAGGATTTACAAGGTTAGTTACATACAATTGCATAAAGTTCTATTAGGCGAGCCCAGTACGCTGGGCGTATCTGGGACGTAAGCCCCGATGGCCGAGGCATAAGTCTCACGGAACTAAGCCCCACACATAAGCCCAGAGGCATTTTACGAGTGCTCCGCCCCGGGGCGAGTCCCAATTCTGCCTTTTAAAATAGAGCTTCAGATCAGACAAGAAGCAAATTATGTGAGGAAAAATTAATGTTACCAAAGTTTGAAAACTCTTTCTGTATGCATTTTAGCATCTATAAAGCATGTCAAATAAATCACCGGGGGTGCAACCCATGCACACCACTGGATACTGGACACAAGATCCACAGGAATAGCAAAGACCCCCCCTAAAAATTAAAAGAGGTTCTAACAATTCCGAAAATTCCACTTCACCTAGCAAATGTTAATCCCTAAAAGAATCTCTAATCAGCACATCACATTTAAAGTATGTTTGACAATAAGAACAAAAAAGAAATTGCTTTTGAAAAAGCAATTGTTTTGTTCAAATATATTTTGTCGTTTTGATTTGCTAGTTTCCAAAAAGAATAAAAATCAATTCTCTCACATCAAACGCAAAAAATCCTCCCAAAATTAAATTCTTAATTCACAAAAATAAGACAAAGAACAAAACGAAAGAGACACATACACACAATATTTTGTTTTTCAGTCCAGAGACTAGTTGTGAGTGTGTATTGTTTACATCTCTCTTTTGGCAACGTATGCCATGTAGTAGCACATGCTAGCCAGCACTAAGGTCAGATCATAGCAGCCCCAACCTCACCTCCATACTTTTGAAATCACTAGCAGCAACCACCGAAGTACTTATCACAGTTCATGATTTGATGATTGCAACAAAAACACCAGTTACAATTTTCGCTATGTGTTATGCTGATGTTTACAACTTATTAGGTATTAAAGTGCTCAGAACTACTTGTATACTTGTTGGCTGTACATAAGACTGGAACTTAGTAAGGGGTATAGAGGACACATTTTTTTGCTATGTGCAGAGCATTTAAGAAAATATTAAATAGTCAAAACTAAGTAACATGGACTACAATAGGAAAAAAGACTTTACCTGCTTAATGTCCCTTAAAGCAAAGAGTCCAATGCAGACCTCGCCATTCACCATCCACTGTTCAGCAAATGAAAGAAAGTTGTGTCACAACATTAATACTATTGAAGCATGCACTCAATATAAACAAGTTGAGAGAACTAGGTGCGAAACTATATCAAGCATTTTCTGCTGAAAATAATTGGTGGGAGAGGAAGGGGGGAGCTCGGTGTGATTTTAGCCCAATGAACAAGGGATCTCGATGCACAGGTTTAGGCGCATCTATAAGCGATGAAGCTACTTCCTATTTCTAAAATACCTCTAGAATTGAAATAATAAGATGCAAAATCAAAACAGATAATTGGATGGACATAGATAGCTTTCCTAAAATAATAAAAGAAAACAGTCATATTCTCAGATAATACAGTGACCAACGACCAAGGTAAGATAACACTAACTGAAAAAATCTTGCAAATTTTCTAATTCAACCCCAACGTAAAGATGATTGCGTCAGGCTTAAAACTTATCTTTGTTATGTAGTTTGCAAGTGATGGCATTTTTACTTCAATAATTTAGCTTACCTAAGATAGAGTTATGACCATATATAGGACTTTCAATACATATCGAGTCCACAAAAGAACCAATTCAACACTTTTGATCACTTGTATACATTATTGGGCAAACAACTAAGCTGCAGTAACTATTTATAATGTTTTTGTTGAGTTGTCTCACATCGGTGGGATTTGAGGTCCTTCGTCTCCTTATATGGTCTTGAGCAATCCTCACCTCATAAGCTAGTTTTTGAGGATTGGGTAAGGCCCAAGGTCCATTTATCATGGTATCAGAGCCATTGCTGCCTCTTTTAGGTGAGTTATCTCCCTCGCAGCACTAGGGTTCCTTTTTTATCAAAGAGGTCGAGTTTTCTCTCTTCTTGGTTGCCCGCAACACAAACTCCTTCTGATTTCCTTCTGATTGGGCTGAAATATAGAGACATTCAAGGAGACGGTTTCTGGAGAAATCTTGTCTTCGGATGAAATTCAGCTTCTCCATCGCCTCCTAGCCAAACTTGACTCTGCTAACGTTGCCACATCCAATCATGTGCAATCAGGTACTGCCTTTGCTGATACCTTAATTCTTGGATTGTCGATTCTGGTGCAAATAGACACATGACAGGCTCTTCTAAAGGCATTCAAAACTATTCTCCGTCTCCCAAAGGAGATAATGTTAAAATAGCCAATGGTTCTTTAACACCTATTTCTGGAACAGGTTCTGTCATTTGTACTCCTAATATTAAACTATCATCCGTGCTCCATGTCCCTGAGTTCCCTATCAATCTTTTATCTGTTAGTGCCATCACCAAAGCTCTAAACTGTAAAATTGAATATTTTTCCGATAATTGTATTTTTCAGGATCTTCAAACACGGAAAAGAATAGGCAGTGGTAGATTGCGTGATGACTTGTATATATTAGATGGGAATCAAAACTCTGGTCAAGCCTTTTTTGGGGAAAGTAAGGATGTCAACCAAGAAATAATACAACGGCATGGACGGTTAGGACACCCATCATTCTTTGTTTTGAAGAAGTTATATCCCGATTTGTTTTCAAGGGCTCGATTTGAATCTTTGTTCTGTGATGTGTGTGAATATGCCAAGCATACTAGAAACTCTTATCCTTTGAGTGATAATAGAAGCACAATTCTGTTTATGACTATTCATTCTGATGTATGGGGTCCTACCCAAACTGTTTCTTTGTCTGGTAGTCGATGGTTTGTTACTTTCATTCATTGTTGCACTAGGATGACTTGGGTATATTTGTTAAAAGCCAAAAGTGAAGTTTTCTCTTGTTTTCAGTCATTTCATAAGATGATTTGTACTCAGTTTGATGCCAAAATAAAAATCTTGAGAACTCACAATGGCAACGAATACATGGATAAAAGATTTGGTGCTTATTTGGAGTCCATGGGATAGTCCATCAGACTAATTGTCCTTACACTAGTGCACAAAATGGGGTCGCTTAAAGAAAAAATAGGCATCTGTTAGAAGTAGCAAGACCTCTTATGTTCACCATGCATCTACCAAAACCTTACTGGGGAATCTTATCACCAGAATGCCACTTAAACCCCTCAATTTTCAAAGTCCTCTGGAAACTTTAAAGGGTAAGACTGAATATACTGTTCCTCCAAAGGTGTTTGGGTGTGTTTGCTTTGTCCACACTAGAAATTCTGGGAAACTTGATCCTGGAGCTATAAAGTTAGTTTTTATTGGGTATTCTCCGACACAGAAAGGTTACAAATGTTATCATCATCCCTCTAGGAGATCTTTTGTTAGCATGGATGTTACCTTTCGAGAATATGAGCCCTATTTCAGTGTTACCTCATCACCTCTTCAGGGGGAGGGCAGTAAGGAGGAAGAGGCGATTCTACCTAGTTCCACTAATGGACCTTTTGATGACATTCTCACAGGGGAAAGTGAAATTGGAGAAAGAATTCAGGGGGAGACTATTGGGGGTTTGGATAGGCCTGATTTGAAAACGTACTCAAGGAAAAATAGAGCAGAAAAAGCCATCATGCAATCTACCGAAGTTGAACCTTCTTCTACTGGTGAGTTATCTACATTTCCTAATGAGTTAGATGAACCTATTGCTCTCAGAAGAGTCAGATCTTGCACCACCAAACACCCTTTATCTAATTTTGTCTCCTATAATTCTTTGTCTCCCTCTAATAGAGCCTTTGCCTTGTCTATTTTTTCTGTGTCTATTCCCTAGAATTGGAGGGAAGCTTTTGCAGATCCTAAATGGAAGCAAGCTATGATTGAAGAAATGAAGGCCTTGTCAAAAAATGGACATGGGAACAAATGGAAGCAAGCTATGATTGAAGAAATGAAGGCCTTGTCAAAAAAATGGACATGGGAACTTGTCACTTCACCACCAGACAAGAAGTTGGTTGGCTGCAAATGGGTCTTTAGTGTGAAGCACAAAGCTGATGGCTCAATTGAAAGATCCAAAGAAAGATTGGTGGCTAAGGGATTCACTCAGACTTATGGAGTGGATTATCAAGAGACATTTACCCCTGTTGCTAAGATGAACACTATTAGAATTCTTTTATCTTGTGCAGCTAATCTTGATTGGGACTTGCAACAGTTTGATGTGCAATTCTTCATGGAGACTTAGAAGAAGAGATGTATATGGAGATTCCTCCTGGATTTGATACTGCACAGAGTCAAGGAAAGGTATGCAGATTGAAGCCTTATACGGACTGAAGCAACCCCCCAGAGCTTGGTTTGACAGATTCAGCAAAGCAATGATCTCCTTCGGTTACCAACAAAGCAATGTTGATCACACCCTCTTTATAAGACATCAAACGGGTAAACTCACTCTTCTCATAGTTTATGTTGATGACATAGTAATGACAGGAGATGACAAAGAGGAGATGTCTCGATTGAAGAAGTTGTTGGCACATGAATTTGAGATCAAAGATCTAGGAAAATAGCAATACTTCTTGGGAATTAAGGTTGCTAGATCCAAAAGAGGAATCTTTATTTCTCAAAGGAAGTTTACTCTGGGTCTTTTGAAAGAAACCGGTATGACAGGTTGCAGACCCGCAGAATCGCCCATTGAAAGCAATCACAAGTTACAAAGCGGAGTTGGAGAGTCAGTTGATAAGGAGAGATATCAGAGGTTGGTCGGAAGACTCGTTTATCTCTCCCGCACTAGACCAGACATAGCCTATTCAGTTAGCCTGGTGAGTCAGTTCATGCATGATCTCCGAGATCCTCATATGCAAGTTGTCTTTCACATTTTTTTGTGGTATCTGAAGTCTGCTCCAGGGAAAGGTCTACTTTTTCTCCAAACATGATCACCTCCAAATAGAAGCCTTTACAGATGCGGATTGGGCTGCATCTCTAGATGACAAACGATCAACATCCGGTTACTGTACGCTCGTAGGAGGAAACTTGGTTACTTGGAGAAGCAAGAAGCAAAGTGTAGTTGCTAGATTAAGTGCGGAGGCAGAATATAGAGCTATAACCCAGGGTATTTGCGAACTGCTTTGGCTACAAAAGCTACTACAGGAATTGAGACCGTATGAAAAAGGAAAACTTTCCTTGTACTGTAACAATAAAGCTGCCATCAGTATAGCTCATAATCCAGTCTAACATGACCAAACAAAGCATGTGGAAATTGATCAACACTTCATCAAAGAAAAAGTTACAACTGGTGTCTTGAGTTTGTTTCATATGCCATCGGAAAAACAGCTAGCTGATGTGTTTACCAAAGGTCTCAACAAGCGAACTTTCCATACTTTGAGTTGCAAGTTGGGCATGTGCGACATCTTTGCACCAACTTGAGGGGGAGTGTTGATTAGCATGATTCAAGGAGACTTGATTTAGGAGTGTTGATTAGCATGATTTCAAGAGATTTGATTATATTTAGGAGATCTGATTTTATTGTGATTTTAATTGATTTGATTTGATAGCTGGATTGATTGTATAGATTTATTTTATTTCCTTAATTAGCATTAGGAGCTTTGTATAAATTCCCTTGCTCATAGGATGTAAAAATACACAGAAATACAAGAAGCCTTTTCTTCTTCTCAAAATCTACATGGTATCAGAGCCAGGCCCATCCCGATTATCGTTACCGATGTTGGGCCCCCATTTATGTTGTCCACGTTCCAGTTTGCAGGCCTGGGCGTGAGGGGGTGTTGAGTTGTCCCACATCGGTGGATTTGAGGTCCTTGGTTTCCTTATATGGTCTTGAGCAATCCTCACCTCATAAGCTAGCTTTTGAGGGTTGAGTAAGGCCCAAGGTCCATTTATCAGTTTTAAGGCAATAAGCAGCTGGACTTCATTGAAACCATGCATCACAACTTCAATTTTTTATCAGTGAAAAGCCAGAGGTAGTTGTACTTTTGAAGAAGTGAGCCCAAACGTTGAATTAAAGATTACTTCATGTTGAATCTGAGATCCTATAAGGAAAAATGTAGCTGCAACTAACTTGTAGAGCAGCATACCACATGGTGTCCAAAATGTTCTGATTTGCCATGAGAATCAAATTCCGCTTAAAGGAGAGCTTACATCGAGGCAAACCACAAAGAAAGCAAGAGGAATATGATGGAATAAACTGACCATGAGTTTTGAGTTACAACAAATAAAAGGAGCGAAACTTCCTTATTAAAAAAAAGGAGCGAAACAATCACAAAATTTGGGGTTAACATAGAATGACTAATCAAAATCCTTAACAAAGAATATAGCGTGCCCTACCTTGTCCAATTTATGTGGCAAACTAGACCTTGAAAGAACGTAATCATGTCCTATCATTGTCTCAATTTATATGGAAAACTAGACTTTTGAAAGAATGCAATTGTGCCCTCCCTTCGTCCCAATTTAAGTGGCAAATTAGACGTCTGAAAGGATATCTAAATATTTCAAAAATCTAAAGATTGTAGCACATACAATTTTTATTTAGTTTTTGATTGTTCATGTTCATTTTTAAAGTTGAAGTAATTCACAACAAAACTGATAATTTGACCTCAAAATCCAAACTGTCTCATATGAAAAGGTTCAGATTAGAGAATAATTTATCATCTAGCAGCTTCTAGTGTATTTCCTACTGTGAAGAAGAGTAAAGTCATAATGACGCAATGCTTTCCGAAATTCATCTGTCTCGTCTCACTTCCTCTGCCATGTCAGCATTTCATGCACCATAATCACTACCTCTGTCATATAAGCCTGATCTATGATCCATTTGTGCCCAAAAAGATCACAATAGTTTTAAAGCCAAAGCAAGTGCAACAGCCTTCTGATCTTTACCATGACTACAACAACAACAACAACAAACCCAGTTTAATCCCATAAATGGGGTCTGGGGAGGGTAGTGTGTACGCAAACCTTACCCCTACCTTATAAAGATAGAGAGGTTGTTTCCGATAGACCCTCGGCTCAAGGAATAGTAGGGATAAGATAAACTAGCCAAGTAGTAAACAAAGGTGACAACAATGCATTATGGTGACGGGCGTGAATAACTAAGAAACTATTATTATACGTAATTGAAAAATTCTTGAGTAAGCAATAATTGCTGAATATGTACATTGTTCAGGGAACTAATAGACTAATACAATTTAAAAAAGCAAAAGAGACTCCAAATTCAAGGCCACAAAATTACAATGAAAGGGTAACAAAATCTCAAGGGAGAAGACAAGCTACACAATAACATGAAATGGGCAAAGTATAACGAAAGGATAAGCAATTTCTTCTCTGTGCACAAATTCCTCAGTAAAAAAGATTCAATTTTTAGTAAATTCAATTGAATTGGAATGGGAATTTACTGAAGTAAATGCGAAGTGCAGTTGCCTAGTACATTTACCTTTTCGGTACGACAATTAGGGTCACAACTATGGTTGATAAAACGGCCCAAATTCCCCTTAGCACATGCATCAATTACCTGAAAATGAGGCATAAAAAGGACATTACCCAACAACGTGAGAAAAAACAGAAAGATTAAAGAGTCCATAACATACACCGAGTCATTACAAAATTGGATTATTGACTGTAGAATTATAGCGGTTTAAAATAGATACACATACCAAACATTCATCTCCTTCATATTATAAATCTGTCTACATCAAATACCTAACATTAAGATGGAACTTAATATCTATTAGTTAGACATATCAAGGAAAATTGTAATACCTCACTGCCATTAAGTGTCATGAAATAAAAATGCTTATGACCCTTCAATGCGTACTCCTTTTGCCGTGCCTCGTAAGCATGCATATCCAGCACCTATGAAATTTTAAAATTTAAGGCTAAAATATTTCAGTAATGCAATGCAAATCATGCATAGATACATGTCATACGCATGAAGAGGAAACCTGTAGAAATCAAATGACAAATTTCTAGACAATCTTTTGATGAAAATAAAACAAGGATCAATGACACTAATGGTAAAATGACGTGAATTTGGATCAAACTTACACCTATGTGAGGCATTCTCTACTACTTCTCTTTTTGATCTTTAACATACTTCTGATAAATTCACCTCAAAATCAGGTCTAATCGGCTCCTAGGGAAGTGATAAAGTCGCCATCCGCAAGATGAAGGTGTTGCATCAAGAGCAAATAGCTTAAATAGACAATTGGACGTTTGAACTAAAGGAAATGCATCAACCAATAGAGGTTTAACTTCTTTCTAACGGTATGTGTTATGTTTAACTGAAAAGATTTTTAAGAGAGATTCATAGTTGGAGCAAGCCATAACCATGATGTGGGAAGTTCAAGTAACTAGGGTGCAAAGTGGGAAAGGCCACTATGTAACTCCTGGGAAGGGCGGTTAGGAACTGAGGCTTACCGTAACAAATAGCTCAAATAGACAATTGGACATTTGAACTAAAGGAAATGCATCAACTGATAGAGGTTTTACTTCTTCCTAACGGTATGTGATATTTAACTGAAAAGATTTTAAGGAGAGATTCATAGTTGGAGCAAGCCATTGTGGTGATGAGGGAAGGATAAGAGAGATGGAATCTATTAGAAAGCGAACAATGGTAAGGATATATTCCTTCTTCAACGAAAGAATAGACAACCTACGAGTACCAGAATACCAATATATATTCATAGCAGAGAGGGAATTAATGGTTTACATGATTCCTGAATGAGGTATCCTGGAAAGGACCCTCCACCTCAAACCATGATGTTGGAAGTTCAAGTAACAAGGGAGCAAAGTGGGAAAAGCCACTATGTAACTCCTGGGAAGGGCGGTTCGGAAGTGAGGCTTACCATAACAAATAAAATAAATTTCTGAATGAGCTATGCTGGCACCAAGTTTGATGAGGAAAGCTGAGTAGTGTGAGCAACTGCAAAAATGCAAATAAGTACGGGTTGATGTAAACTAATTGTATATCAAGACAGGAAGGCCATAGAATAAGTGGAAGAGGAAAGCCTCATATCCAAATATGGATAGTCAATCCGGGAGAAGAAGTTATGAGGAACTTTCTGAGTAGTAGACAGATGGCCTAAACAAGAGTCGAGAAGTGAAATATGTCCCAACCAGCCCTCAAAGATAAATTATGGGCAAGATAGATAGATAGGAAAATAGCCAGAAACAGTTAAAGACTCAGTCTCTAAACCGCTACTTGAATCATATATTATTGGAGTTCAATGGTAGGAATTTCAGAGAATTCTTGGGTTACAATAATGCAACACTGTTCGAACTACAGTTGAGTCAAGTAGGTAATAACGCCAAAAATTATCAGCAAACAGAGGAATAATTAAGTTGGTGACCCCTTGGTTACATTATCGTTTCTCTTTTTGAATACAGTAGTGTACCAGAGTTTGATAGGTTCAAATCAGAATTCACAAAAAGCCATAATATCTCAGGGATGAAGGCAGATTGTTTAAAGGTGTCCTTATAACTGGAAAGACGCCAAAACAAAAAGAACAGTATAAAGATGACTACAGCGAAGGATGTGCAAAATGAATGGGGAAATCGGAAGATGATTCTCAACTCTCAAGGAACTAAAAGAATTTGGGAACAGCAGCACAGGAGTAGGAATAAAGCATTATTGTGGCATTAATCACCAACAGCTGTGAAGGGGCATGCCTGACCACAAAGATCTGAGTTGACACAAATGAGACAAGCAATTAGCCACAGACACTGAGAGACAGCATCTTAAGGAGGGCGGGAAAGTGTTGAGGATATTGTGATTAAATAAAGGAAGAAGCATGAGCCTAATATGACAATCAACAGACACTAGCAGGAACGTAATGATAAAGAGATTCTAAAGAAAAAGGAACAAGCCCAAAAGCATAACTTGAACCAAAAGAATTGAAATTTGGAGTGACTTATGTTTTATGATACTAGAAAGTCCAAAAGTATAGTTTTGACATAAGTTTATAGAAATGAAATCGTGTAAAAGGGAGCAAAGGTGTTCTGTTCTCTGAAGAAAAATCAGGGTACTGTTGTTTTCTAGGCAAATAGGTTTTGATGTAAATTTGATGCCTATGGGTTTTCCACCTCAAGTTGGTTATTTTCCAAAAAAAAAAATTAGTTACTACTAGCAAGGTCATCTCCTAACTTTCAGTCTCTTTTCACAGAACAGTACCCACCCAGTGGTGGGATTGGGATAAACAGAATAAAGTTTTGGTATTATTAAGGTTAATGTAGGAAAAAAATCTGTGGTTCCACGCATTCCGTCCACAGTCCACTTCCCCTAACTCCCACAACTCCGTCCAAACTTTGTAGAGAAGATAGCTCACCTCCCCGACGTATTCAATAAGAAACTGCCCTTCATATACATCTTCAAGCAGCTGCAGACCATAACCCTTCTTTCCATATTTAAAGCACTTCAGTTTAGCATAGCTGCGTTTCTGGAACTGCAAGCAGTATATGATAGAGATGATACAATCTGCATAGTAGAAGCAACATACAAGAAAAAGTAACCCTTTGCAAGTTCAAGAACCTGTTGATTTGAACAGAATTCTCCACAAGGACAAGTCCCTTTAGCGCACTCTATATTGAGCATCCGGTTCAGGCATCCATCTCCACAACCCATTCGACCATCTGAAGGTGGCTTGCAATGGCAGACCATGATCTAACAGGGAAGGACAACAAAAGGAAGTAGAAGTTACTGAAGGAAGTAAATTACTTTCTGTTACCTCAAGCACATTAGAAATCATAAGTTGATTGTAGATGAACACGGAAATACTTGAAGAAGCAGCAGTTCACAAAGAAATAAGTAGGGACAACGGAAGGTACACTTACAAGCTGTTAGCCCAACATAGCACCAGCCATGGGCATGGTTTGCATCTTGTAAGCATTGCATATATCATTTGATATCTAATTCTACAAACGATTTGCTGCTTTAAAAATTTCTGAAGAATCTCCATTCTCCTCAAAATCGAGCTTATATCAATTGAGAGTTTAAAATATATTTACTTTTTCTTTCCGACTTAAAAATTAAAATATATTTACTTCAGCCATCTAAATATGCTTTAGTTAACAACTTAACATAACATAGGTCCATTTCTTTGTTTTAGCTCCCAGAGGTTAGCTCAATTGGCAAAGGTTGAGGGACTTGTGTCTAGGCCGCAGGTTCGAGCTCTGCGCCAAGCGAACTAACTCGGGTATTTAAATGGAGAAGAGTAGAGGAGCGAGTCCATCATCCCCGAGTTACGAAGGCTGCGGTTGGCCCAAAGGATCAGTTCCAGACGGATTTCTTGGTCAAAAATAAAGTCCATTTTTTTGTTTTAGAAGTTAATTTACTGCTGTAACTATTAATGGAGAACATGTAGGCTTTTTATCATCAGAATGGACAAGAAGCCCTTCTAAAAACATCATTGAAGGGAACCCCAGAAGAACATCCTTCCTTCTCAACAAACAACGATTTCGTTCCTTCTCAACAAACAATGATTTCCTTTCATTTTACCGCAAACATCTACTACACATAAATAATATATCCACTTAGTGTCACAGCCAGGTTGAAAATGTCAGCTCATAGACATTGAAACCATGGTGGATAGTGCAAATCACCAATAGATTCACAACAAGAAAGATCCCAAGTAAAAGCACCAATTAGTTGTCTAGAGGAACCACGCATTACTCAAACACAGCATTTCTTCCACGGGATGCACCTGAATGTCTCATTGTAACCAACAGCAAAAATGTGATTTTATTTATGAATCAACTTCTTCGAGTGAAATTTCATTTTTTATGGCAAAAGCCTTCAATCAAGAATAAGTAACAAGTTTATTTTCAATAAACGAAAAAATCAGGTGATCAAACTTTTAGAAGCTTTTTTATGCTAACGAATTTTAAATTCAGAGAATTTTTTTTGTCTAAAACCACCGCAATTCTAAGGCCTTTATCCTCCTCTTCTTTTTATTCTTCAAGATGTACACCACAGTGTATATAAGGCAATAATGCAGACTAGATCAGGCATCTACCTCATCAACAGTTTGATTTTTGCGGTTGCGATGCAAAAACATGTTTGACTTGATCCGAGACCAAGATGATTGATGGGCCACTGTAACAAACATAAAGAAGGAAAACAATCAGATCAGTGCAAGTCTACCCCGAGAACATGTACCCAAAGACAATACCAGCGCCATTTCATAACAACAATCAGTAGATACCAAGTGGATTTTTCTGTCCTGATCCATTCGAACTCAAGTGCACACGAGAAACATCTTCCTCGTCTGATATTTCCAGCTCAGCATTAATTTCTGAATTTGACTTCTCTTGGGGAAATGAGCAACCAGCAAAAGCTTTATCCAGATTATCCATACAAGTCCTTTAACATTGATAGAAGAACTGTAAGCCATCAAAACTCTTGTAAACCCAAAAAAAACACAATATGCTTTCAAAATCACAAGAGTTTCCATCTCCATTACTAACACCTCCAATACTAAATCGAGAGATTATACAACCCCCCCCCCCCCCCCGGTGGGAAGTGTGAAAAAGCATTTATCATCCTGACTTATAGAGCTAAGAGTCATCTGATGCTTAGTTTTGCAGAAGCAAATATCAAACCAAACCATCACCTGAGCGTTCCGACACCAAACAGCCGGCTATGGGAAGAATTTTGGATGCACTCAAGTTAGAACTTTTTACAAGTCAATAAACAAGAGACGGGAGATCTTCCATTATTTAAAAAATTAGTTACCTTATCAAACAATTAAGCCAATAAACAAGAGAAAGGACAATATGAAAGACACAATAAGTTGCCTAATTTGGGCATAAAGAATGGAATAAGCTATGCCACCTCAGGATTTCGTATTCAGAAATATAGCATGTCACCACTTACAATGATCTCCACATGCTAAACCTTTCATTGTGTGGCAACTTATCTCGGAGATAGTTTTGGTCTTCACAATTTGATCAATTAAAACAAGTAACGAGTACGATGCACCTTCATCAGGATTTCAATACATCTAATAGGAGGATATAATCAGCTATTCATGAATAAGATGCACAAAATGAATTTCTTTTAAGAATCTGAATTTCGTACAACAAAACCTTAAATACTTCGCATATACAACATTGGAGTGGCAGTGTCATTTATCAAAATAAAAAGAAGAAGATAAGCCCCACTTCCCATGGACTAGTTCTCACAACAAATGATATGTTACTTTTTCCTTTTACACCTGTCATTTCTGAGAGGACAAGGTTAATTCCACAAAAAGAAAGTTCATTTCGTAGGCCAACAACTAGAATGTTTAGCTATCTGAGTGCTCAAGTACACCAATAAAGCAAGAAACCTCACTTGGTCAAGATAATAAGACTACACACAAACTACTATTAGGTTCCTCGGGGAAATTGCAAAGCAATGGCTGTTAGTCATATTTAATTTTTTTTTAGCTGTTAGTCATATTAAACTACTCGCAGCTCCAAAGGAAATGATCTATGTTTCTTTCTTATCTCCCCCATAAAACTTGATTTTTTCATTAAATGGAAAAGTTTTCTCTTTCTAATACTTCACGCTAACACAAAAGTATTATTCCCTTTGTCCCATTTTGTATGACACCAGCTGACTGGCACAAGTTTAAGATCTTAATTTGATGTGTGTGTACATACATATACAGACAGACATATACATGTGTGCGATACATATACACACAGACATTTATATACAAGTGTGTGGGTGTATTGATAACAGAGAAATCCGTGGTTTCCAGCTTTGAAACTTGGTGGATAAATCGACCCACCCCATTACACCTAAGTAGCACATTTGGTTCACATCTGGTTTCCGACTCGTGATGTGGTGCCTATCACACATCTCGTGTTGTACTAACCATACCACTGAAACCAAAACCCTGATTTGATGTATATATTACATTAGTGATAGTGGAGTAAAAACTTAAAGTTGGTAAATGAAAAGTTAGTTTAATAGAGAAAAACATCACATCAAAGTCTAGAATTGAAATACATTAGTGGATTCGAATCCTTAAAAGTTGTGTAAGAATAGAAGAGAGTTAAATGTTTTGGGTCACAAAATGAGAAGAGTGTCAATTTTTTAGAAGAGTCTCATATAAACTGGAAAGGAAGGAGTGCCAGCGCTTTTACAGTGCTCTAAGTAAACCCCACAAATTACAGAAAATACAAAAATTACCTAACATGTAGATGACTTAGTGCTTAAGACAAAAAAAATTAATTAACATTTTCAAACTGAGCATGCTTAGTTTTAGAGCATACAGAATCACCCTAGCGTCTAATAACAGAAGGGAGGCTGACTTTTATGGTGACTCACAGAAGCAACGGATTGCAAATCCCAAGAAGGCAAATCTTGCAAGGATCATCTTACTAGTTTTTTTGAGTTACAGCAGGAATATATAATGCATGCATAAACACATAAAAACGCATATGCACGCGCACACACACGAAGAGACGCATAAAGAGGACGAGTGATCTAGCCATAGTCCACCAAGAAAAGGCTGTTCCTTCAGCTGTCAAAAAAAAGGAAAACCAAATCCTTTCACACTGCTGAATTTCGACGCACATGCAGTCAACTAACAGGAAACATAAAAGTATACTATTGGTACGATTGTAGTTCAGAGATTGGATGAGCATATCACATACCATCTGCAGTTTGTTTCTTCTATTTGATCAGCAAGGAAGGAAGGTATACGCCTCCATTTATGGCAATCATCACACTGCACCCAAGCATTTCTTGGTGGCAAGAGACGCTCGCCTACCTCAGTCGGCAGAATGTCCAAGCTCGAAATGCCTCCACCCAAAATTTTCTTTTCAGAGCCAATTTGTCCAAGCCCAGATGGTGTTCCATTTTCTACGACATTAGTTAATATAGTCACAAAAAACTTCAATCTACCTAGGTTAGCCTTACATAACTTGAATTTAAAAAGCTCAATATACTATTACGTGTATCATCCGACAATACCTGTTCCTGGGTGCTGTCTCACTTCACATAAACCCTTAGCAAGGTCACTTTTGTGCTTCACTTCATGCAAAATGTCTTCCTTTTCTTTGTTCTCCTTCTTTTTACAACCTCTTCTTTTTGACGGCTTTGGGACTTCTGACCTGCTCTTTCCTGATACCTTTGGTCTTCCCTCTTTAGAAACTTTTCGCTCATCAGGAGAGGATACCAGTTTCTCTGACAACCCTGACTCCGGAGACTCAGTGCCAAGACTAGAACAATGATTGCCCTCTAGATCACTTTCCAGCTTTGAGGAAACACAGGAGATTCCCAAGCCTGACACTCCTGAACAATGTAACAGTTCTCCTGAAAATATCTCATTGCTGAACATGTTACCCGTTCCATTTCCAGCTGTAGTTAAAACAGAAGTATCACAACAACAAGAACCATCCCTTTGTTTTTCTCCCTGCATGAGATTCCAGAATACTTGTGCATTGCTCATACTTTCTGATCTTTTACTGATCTTCTCATGCATCAAAATTGGAGCATCCCCAGGAGCAGCACATGGCTTAGACAATGTCAAATCATGCAAGTTGTCTGGAACATTGACTGGAGTATCAGGAATCAGGTTGATGACTTCTGAATCAGGTGAAGTTCCAGGATCTGAAAACCTGTTACCGATTGATCCTCCCTCCTGGGAAAGTGACTCATCATGGCAAACTAAAGTCATAGCACCTGTATCTTGAACTGCGCTCTTTCCAGGTTGGCATCTATCTGATAAAGAAAAATAGTCATTATCCAAATTTCCATTGCAACCATGGAGCTGCATATCTAGCAACTCCTCCCCCAACCTATCATCAACTTTGCTGGCAATTTTAGGCAGTTTTTTCAGTTCTTCTCCAGTAGTACAATTTTTGTTAGTATCATTATCAATAAGAGGAATAACATCCTTCAGGCAACGGTGACCAAATTTAACCTTCAAGGAGATAGGTCCAGTTGGTATGAAGCGTTTACCCTTCGATTTCCGTGACTTTCGATCAGTCTGATTCTCACCATGCTTCTCATTTTGCCTACTACCCTTAGTTGCTGTTCTTATATTTTTCTGCTCCCCCGATGTTATCTCAAGCCTGATATTATGTTCAAAAGATTGCACCATATTTTCTAGCAAACCCCAAACTGAAGATCGAGCTTGTTTACTGAAATAGCTTCTTCTCTTTCTTGTAATCTGCAAGGAACTAAGATCTATGGATGCCTTTTTAGTGGCTATTCTCCTGCCACTTGTTGCTGGTACTGTAGCCAGATTCTGGCTTAACTTGATGTTGCGCCCACTTCTTCTCCGAGGGGCAATACATACATTGACAGGGCATTCACTTTCAGAGGCATTATCAGTTTTTACAGTGTCTTTGCTTTTATCATCCATCTTACAGGACAACGCCTCAGTTATGCTAATTGAGTCAAAAGCATTCACAAGAACATCAGTTTCTGAAACATCAAGTGCAACCATTCTCTGAGGCACATCATCATCTTTTATCTCAAAGGGTTGAGGTGATTGCAAAGAGACAGATAAGTTTCCGGTTGTGCAATTGGGATTCATGGCAGATGAAATCTGCCCAAACTCGCAGACATCGTCTCCTATTGATATCTGAGAAGCCATATCAACAGTTTAACAGCAACGTTCAAAGAAAGCATAGGCCTCAACGAAAACTCCTTATACCAGCACAAGAACTAACTGCCATGTAAAGATACCTGTCTCAGAAATTCGTTGCAGTAATCTGTAAGAGCAAATGGTAGTTATTTTAATTAGAAAAGCATAATCTTCATCAAACAAACATTGAAGCAAATAAATACAGAAAAAGGCGAACTGGAATTAGAGAGCAACTCCCCACACATTAATTAGGGGGGAAATGCTATAACATGGACAAAAACTGATCACCATAAACAAAGATGTCAGAAAACATAGCTCTGAAGTGTATTGGAGCTTAACAAATTACCAGGCATGAGAAGGAAGTGAACATTAACCTACTACTGCATTGCATTTTTGCAACAGAGTTATGGGTCTATTCCATGTTTAATATGTCATGATTGCCACCTTGAGGTGGTGGATGTCATGGCAAGTTGGATGACAAGCAGTCGGAGGTCAGAAAGAGAAGAGTTGTGGAAGATTGCTCATATTTGCAGGTTTTGATTGATAGGGAGAAAGAAGTAAGAGAATTTTTTTAAGGTGTAAAAAACTCCTTGTTGAAAGTAAAGAGCTTCCTTTATCTACATTTATACTTTTGGCCCAGAGTATGTTGAATAGATAGTTGGTTAAATCTCGTGGAGTTTGATGTAAAACCGTACTTTGGTTTGTGTCACTAGCTTGGAGGGACATAAATGAAATATTATTCTGGATTATCCAATGAGCCCTGTGCATCCACGTGCTTAAGGGAGTTTTATCAATTAAACAGTACATGACCGACTATTTTCAAATCTGCTAAAGATTAATTATGATTATGCAGCCCAACTCTTTCCAGAACCCACTTAACCTAATTTACTGCTGAAATAATCCACACAAGCACATATAAGTACAATATAAACTTTTATTTTGTTCTATACATATTTTGGTGCGTAACAATGGTCGGAGCTGGAATTAAGACTACGGGAGACCAGGGTTTAAATCCTGGCAGAGTCATATAAGCTGGGTGATTTCTTCCTATCTACCTAAGCCTTGATGGCAGATAGTGGTGGAGCCAGAAATTTTAAAAAAGCGGATTAGAAAACATTTGCGAGTTAAGCAGTTATTGAACTACCTTCCTTATGTTAATTGTCAAGAGGATACAAAAGCTCATATAGATATGAAAATGAAAAACCTTATACTCTATTTGTGCAGTACTATTTTGGGATTCAATCGAACCTCCTTCCTTGACTATGGTTCCGCCATAGGTGGCAGAGTTACCCACTACTTGTATGGAAGAGAGGATGATCACTTGCTGCATTGAGCTAGAAAAACCGCAACACAAGAAAAAACAAATAAATGCTTAGTTTTCAAACTGCAGCTTTAATGCAAGACACAGATAACATATGTCTGCAGAGAGAAAACTGAAAAAGTAACGGCGTCCCGTTTTCTGCCAGAAAATTCCAAAAGCGAAAGAGTAGATAAAAGAAAAAAACCCTAAGCAGCTAACATTTAGCAGTGCATCAAAATCCCTAAAATCAAAGCTCCAACACCAATGCAGATACATACATATATCTACCTCGTTGGCACAAAATCAAAACAAAATTAAATTACAAGAAAAGAACAATCAACATAAAGATCATACCTGGTGGTGAATTTGAAGAAACTTCACGAATAGTAGGAAGACCAATTTCAAGGAATATATGTACATAAGTGTATGTCTGTAGTTTTAGAGAGAGAAATTGGATTTTTTTTTAGAGAGAGAAGAGAGGAATCGCTTGGCGGTAGTCAGCAAACGGTTTTTATAAAGAGTTGTTTGCGAAAGAGAAAGAGAAAGGGCTCCGATGGAAGTCATTGGAGATTTTCTTCTTTTTTTATTTTTTTATTTTTTGTTTCCGACTATTATTAGTATTTGGGCTGTAAATATTATTTCCTGGAACGCGAGGGCAACCCCTTTTAGTTTTGGTGTCTAATTAGTTTCTTAATTTTCTTAACATAAATTTCGACATTTAACAATTACATAAAAGTATTAAAAATTGCACGTGATTTTTAATTTTAATAAGAGTATTTTGGACATATGAACAAAATTAATTGATTCATTAAATAATATTAGTGGCATATAAAAAAACAAATAAAGTAATAGCTAAAGCTTTAACATAAGTACTTACAATAGATTATATTACTTTTAAGTCTTGTATGTCCTTTAAGCTATTGATATATTTATTAAGAAAATTATGTGATACCGCTAATTGAAAAAATGTTTAACTAATATCCTTGTATGTCTTCTGTGAAATAGTAAGTAATGAATATATATCTTTTTATGAGTAACAAGGACATAAGTGAAATAGAAATTAATGCCTTCCTAATTTTTTTAAAGTAATAGTAAATATTTAGGACCAAATTTATTTTAGTTAAAGTGACACTAGATAAATGGACAGTAATTAATACAGTGGAGTTTCATTTTTGCACTTCCTTTTAGTAAATGGATGGTTAATGACACGTGGCATATGGGGGGGGGGGGGTGTTTTAGAGAATTTCTAGGTCTTCGTCATTTCTTGTATTTTTTGTTTAAATATAAAGTTCCTTTTGTTTTGACCAATAGCCAAACTAGGTTTGACTTTAGATATCGATTGATGTTGATTTCTTTTTTCTTAGTGAACCTAATGATGGAATGCATTCTTAGCTTTTAGCCTTTTACCCAAAATTTTAGGTGTTTGGTTTACAACTTCACGTCATATTTGTAGAGTTTTTCCAAAGCTCAAAAAACCCAACTTGCTTGGTTTTCGGATGGCTTAGTTTTGGAAAATGAGTCCACAAAATATTTCAAAAATCCTAAAATTCAGATTTTGGAAACCAATTGAAAAATATGTCTCTTTTGTACTCAAAATGCAGATTCCTCTCCAAATTCAAAGGCTTTAAAACTTTACCCCCAAAAAAAATCAAAAATTAAACCAAAACCAAATAATTTCAGTCAAATATGTTTATATGAAATTACCCGGGATTTTAAAATTTTCTTTTTTCTATAAGTATATAATAGTATACCAACATGAAGATAGAATATTTTTCTTTAAGATATTGATTAACACAAATCACAATCTCCTTGTTAAAATTGATCATACTACGACAGAGTTTCTTTTTTGTCCCTAAAAGTAGATATTCTTTATCCTTCATTCCCCGATACCTTCCTTTGTTTACTTTTGTCGCACTTAAACTTTTAATATTTTTATACTCTAGCTTTAATTTTACACAATCAATTATTAATTGCTTTTACAAAATAACTTTCACATTATTTCATACCCCCTACCGGGTATATATTTTATCAATATAAAAGTTCAATTAATATTTGAGCAACAAACAAAATTGACAAACACAAATTATTAAGGGATGCAAAATTTTAACTTTATAGCACACCAATCTCTTTTGCAATTTGAAAATATTTACACTCGCCTTCCTTATTTTTAACTTTTTGTTCCTTATTTCAATTTTTTGTAACAACTTCTTTAATTTAATCATCGATATGCAAAGTTTTTGATACCTAACCAATTTTCAAATTTTAATATATTTTATTATAACTCACCATTTGTAATATATACGCATTATTTTACATAAGCCTCTTTCCAACTCAGCTGGATCCCTTTTTTCGGGTTAAGTCTGGATCCTCAATTAAAGCAAATGACGTAGTAGCACAATCAATAAATGCACTTAATTGCATACATTAGCATATAAATTAAGAGTTACACTTTAGGAGTAATTGAAACTATGGATGAGCTCATGAGCCCTTTAATATCAACCCAATGTTAGTTCACTACTTTCTTTGTCCAAAATTAGTTGTCATGTGTTATTTCTCGAGAGTTAAATTATGTGAACTCTGGTTAATATTTTAAAATATCTTTTTATTATATTAGCATTAAAAAAGTTATAATTTGTAGTACTTTAACTACAAGAAAATACTTATTTTGTAGGGAGGGTTTTTGTCAAATTGTGACGGTTTTTGACGCCGTCAAAAAGAATTGTGGCGGTTTCTAAAAGTGCCACAGTTATCTTTGCCACGAGCATTATTGTGGTGATTTTTTAGAACCTCCACGACAACCACCACAAAATGAATTTTGAATTTGTGGGAGTTCTTAAAGATAATTAGTGACAGATTAGAACACTTGTAACATGATTTCAACGTGTCAATAAAAATATTGCGGGGTTTATAAACCCCCTCAATATGTTATAATGGTTCAAAAAAATTATGGGCATTTTTAAACCCTCACGATATGATTTAAATATTTTTTTTAAACAGATTGTATGGGTTTATAACCCTTTTTTTAAAAATAGTGGCAGTTTATTTCCGCCACAATGAAGGGGATTTGGTCCCTTCACTCTACCTAGTACCCACAATAGCAAAAGTCAGAAATTTAAGTATTGTACGTTAAACTAAAGCAATATAAACACAAGTCTAGATAGCAACAAAAAAATTAAGCATTAGCTAAAGTAATATAAACACAAGTCTAGACAACCATTACAAATTTAAATTCCTAGAAAGCAAAAGTTGTCCATAACGAAAATATTAAGCATTAACTAAAGCAATATAAACACAAGTCTAGACAACCATTACATATTTAAATTTCTAGCAAGCAAAAGTAGTCCACAACGAAAAAATTTAGCATTTAATTGGTGATTTTTGTTGTTATCCGCCGAGATCCTCCTACATTCACTAGTGAAGTAGGTTCATTCTATGCAGCGTCAGGCTGAAACAATAAAAACAATATTCGGTGAGAAACTTATTTAGATTAATTCCAAACAAGATTGAATCAAATGTTTCTCTTATCCTAGTTTCAAATCAAAGCCTTAGCTTCTGCAAGGAGATGGAAATTCCTTTCCACCACCTCCATATTTAGCAAAGTTAGCAACAAGTTTTACTAGAATTAGATGATATTGAACTGTATATTGTACTAACTAATTATGCAGGTGCAAAACCAAATATCGGACTTTGGGCATTGCCATGTTATAGAATGTTTAATTGTCACACCATTTTACACCTACCTTTTCAATTATAATATTATATGGCAACAGTCGACAGGACCAACAGTGGGAAGACAACTCAACCCAATAATAATATATATTAGACACAGCTAATCTCTTCCACATAGGAGAGCTTGATCAAATGAACCATGTTTAATATTTTTTATTCGCTTTATTTTGCTATCACATAGAAGTACAATGCAATTAAACTGATCAGAAGCTGTTGTAATAGAAGAAATACAAAATTATATTACTTCTTGCTTGTGGTTGAAGAGCAAATAAACCAGCAAATTCTTCAGGAACCAAACCTTCCTTTGACATCACGTAAACTTTCAACGCATTTAAGGTGCCTTCTAGTTGGGATTCCACACGCATAATCTTTTGTTGCAAATGAGTATTGATGCAGATGATGTACCATAGCTAGATGAAGAAACACTCGATCACTAAGTCGTCCTTTGGTATTCCTGAATGTGTTTGAAGGAGCTGCTCTCATACACATACATCGTACTCTCCTAGAGTGCTTTTCCCTATCTTGCCAATAACATCATTTAGGAAAACTTCACACTCATTAGTATCACATTGAGTCATATTCAATTTGTTTCTACAAGCGAATAAAACATCAATTAGTAAGTAAAAGATAGTAAGACTTGAGATGCAGAATGTTATCCAAAAATAATGAAAATAATGTTAGAAAAATGCACCAAAGCTATATTTCCACGACTAGAAGTTTTTCCAATTTCCAAAATCAAGAAAGAAATGTATTAAAAAAATTATCATAAAACATTTAATTAGAAAAAGTGAAATAAATATGGTAATGTAGATACCAACTCATATCGTCTTCTCGAGTTAACTTTTGAACCACCAGTGAGTGATATTTTTTGCTTCTTTTGAATTTCTTTATTTCTACTACAAAACTTTTATCAACAAAACAAATATAAATTAAAAAAGTCATCTTCATTTAATTATAATGAAACTTGTTAAAATAATCTGAATCTTACCATTGTTGATAATTTTTGACAATAAGCATCGAAACTAGCCTATTGATCTTTATTTATACCTGCTGGTACATCACTTATAATTTTATTTTTGCTTTTGGTTGGGATCAAAATATTCATTCCACAACCTCTGCCTATGTGTAGCCCACTTCTTTGAAAGACTAGAATTGCAGAATATGTATGCAATGGACTCACTTACCCGTAAATTAAATCGAGGCTTCAAACAAAGAGTGAAAGTTAGTTTTTTCATGTGTATAAAAATCTAGGTGCAATAAGTGTATATGTATGTAATAGCACTTGTACCTTCACTATTGTTTCAAAGCAGTCTTCCACGTACTTCTTAGGCATGCCTGATGGCCCTGACCACTTGTTAAAACTAATCGGCAACAAACTAAAATCAATTGCCCAAGATCCACAATATCCAGTAAGCAATCCTTGCGATTCACCATATATTGTGTTGTAGTCATCAAAATCCACAATGATGCGCTCCCCAATAAATAGGTCGTTAACCTCATTGACCTTGACCCTAATTTTCTTAGTAGCATTTTCTGAGTCTTTAACAAGAAAACAAGTTACTCAACCAAAAAGGAAGAAAAAAAATAAGATTCTCATAAATTAAAGTAAAAATACATGTAAGGTATATACCCTTTGCCTCTACTGTGTAATATTTTGTAGATTCACGTCCTGCACGGTGCACAGAAATTGCACTTGAATTAGAAGACAGAATTGGAGCTTGTTCTTGTTGTGGGACTTCATGAGCATGTAGGAGGGCTTGTACTGTTGTTGAGGGCTCTAGCATGTGATTGGACTGGAGTTGATGATGATGAAGGAT